TGATCTTTGAAATTTTTTGTTCAGCTCTTGGACCTCTTCAGTTTTTCCATTTGCTTTGGCTTCTCTACATTGGAGAGCAAGTTTCAGAGTCTCTTCTGACATCCATCTTGACCTTTTCCTTCCATCTAAATATTAGCTACTCTTCATACTCAGTATGGACTGAGAAACAGTATCATTATCATCATATGGAAATTTATTGTAAATACAGCATCTTGAGTCCTCTCCAGATCTACTGAATCAGAATAAACTTCTTAGAGAGATCTCCAAATGTTTACTATGTACAATTCAAGCTTGAGAAAAACTGGTCTACACCATCCCCACCAAGCAAGCATGCATTACTTATACTGGGACATAAGGCAGTAAAGATCTTCCTTCCTCTTGATATAGAATATTCCATATTCAAACAACAAGGAACTTTGGTAGCTTAGTGGTTATGAGTCAAGCTGTTAATCTCAAGAACTGCAGTTCGAAACTATGAGTCTTGCTACGACAGCATGATGAGGCTTTCTGTTCCCATAAAGATTTATAGCCTTGAAAATACGGTTGTTATGAGTCGTAACTGACTTCATGGCACATAATCACCAACCACCACAATATTCAACAACTTTCAAAGCTTTTCTGTGTCAAATCAAAATCTATCTACTTCTTTTAATCTCTTCCTCCCTCCCTCCCTCCCTTCCCTCCTTCAAGTCTTCCTTCCTACCCTCTGGATCAGTCAAAAACGGTGACTGCATGTCTTCCATACAGGAGAGTTGGGTTCCATTCCAAACCATTGTACCTCAAGCACAACTATCTGTCAGCTTTGGTTCGGCTCTGATATTGAACAGATATCAGTCGAGTTTACAGACTAAGAAGAAAGACTTGGAGATCTACTTCCTAAACTCAGCCATTCAAAACCCTATGAATCACCAGGCTTCTATCTGCAACCAATCAGAAGGACGACCCAAACAGAGAGTGTTTCCTTCCAGTGTGCCTGGGGTCACCATGACTCATGGCCAACTCAACAGCAGCTAACAACAAGAACAACAACAACTACCACAGCAAGCAATTTTTGAGTTCTAAGAATGTGGTGGGTGAGATATCTTCTTTCCTGGAGCTTACGTATATATGTAGACTTGTTTCCTAGTTTCCTGTTTGTCTAATTCCAGCTTCAGCCATTCCTTTCATAGAATAATGTCATGAAAAGAAATGAATGCAGCAGTGAGTGCTCACTGGTTTATAGGTCAGAGCCATCCCTCATCAGTTCAGAAAGTTATTTAATTCCTCCAAACCTAAGTTTTTAACTTATAAAATAAAGAGCATTTTACTTTTCTCTTAGGGTTGGTTTATTGATTTATTTGACTAATGCATGTAAAACATTCCATTCTGAGCTAGGTACAAGGTAGGCAAATGGGTGGTCAGCATGTTATTAACGTAGGCAAGAGGATTTCTCAAAGTACAGAAGTTGAAAATCCATCTGTCTACTTTGTGATTCTATTTTTCTCCATCCCCAGCAAGTCCTTTTCAGTTATAGGTAACTTGCTTAATTCAGTGCTTGTGGTCATCTCCTCGCAAGTGGAACAGACTGTATGTTCCGCATATGGTTTCTCTGCAGTTTTACATGCCCTGAGAAATCAATAAAAAGCTGGACAAGGGATATGCTGGGACTGACCTTCAAAAGAATAAATATGACAATAAATCACAAGTGGGTGGGTTTGATTTTGAAGCTGCAAATGGCCTGTCAGTTACTAAGTGACTAAATACTTACAGGGAGAAAAAAAAGACTGCGAACTCAAATCCGGAAATATGTAGTTCATGTCACTCATTTTCGAATGAGAGATTTTCATAACAAAAGGTTGTGTGTTTTTTGTTTTTTTTAAACGTATGCAGTATATCTGCGTAGGAAAAAAAATGATTTTAC